AGGGATCCTGGGCAAGGGATCCTGGGGCAGGGATCCTGGGGCAGGGATCCTGGGCAAGGGATCCTGGGGCAGGGATCCTGGGCAAGGGATCCTGGGCAAGGGATCCTGGGGCAGGGATCCTGGGCAAGGGATCCTGGGGCAGGGATCCTGGGGCAGGGATCCCAGGGCAGGGATCCTGGGCAAGGGATCCTGGGGCAGGGATCCTGGGGCAGGGAGCATGGCCTCCTTGGCCTCTCCTGTCACAGCACCAGGAGGCTTTGAATACTAAAATTAGGGCTGTCCTGCCTGTCCCTCCTGGAGCTCTGGCCATTGCCTTTGTTTGCTAGGATGAAGACGTTTCTCTGATCATCTCCAGCTGCTTAGGTTCTGACCTTGTGACCTGCAGAAGGTGCACTTGAGGGAGGCAGGAGGGCTCTGTCCATCCCACGGAGAAGGGGCAGAGTGGACTAAATAACTGCTCTGGCTGCAGCACAGAAATGCTGGGTTTGGAAGGAAGCTCTGGAGGTGCCTTGTCCAACACCCTGCTCAGCACAGGGTCGGTCAGGGACATGTCCAGTCAGGTTTTGAACATCTGAGGAGACTGCTCAAACCTGTTCCTGTGATAGACCAGCCTTTACAGTAGTTTGATGGTACCTACTGATAAGGAGAAACTCAGGCATCTCCAGGATTGCCTGTGCTCTGCCATGTTGCCTTTTCAGCAGATGCTTGAAGTCCCCCATGAATTCCAGGCCTGTGAACAGAAGTTTTTTTCCAGTTGTTCTGCTTCCCTGCCAGGCAGGCTGTGACAAACACCCCCACAATGTCACCCACATTGATCTGCCAGAGCTCCAGCCCTCACCTCAGCTGGGTGGTGGTCTGTGCACAGGCAGAGTTCCAGGGGTTCCTGCTGCTATCTGATGGAAAGGGCAGCTGCTCCCTGCTTATCCCACCACATTCCCCAAGTCCATCCCTTGCAGCTCTCCATTCACACACCCTGTCCTGCCTGCACAGTCCCAGCTGGGTTGTAGCCCTGCAGCTACACAGATCAAGGTTGCCTTTAGTTTCTATTCTGTTGTTGTTTGGAGTTCTCTTGTCCATGTCACCCTGCAACCTTCTCTCACCAGCCTGGCCCAGCACTTGGCTGTGGGTGATGATCTCCCTCAGTGTCACTCCAGGTCTGAAGCTCTCCTCAGCAGATGGCCTCTTTACAGAAGTTATTTTTGCCTCACTTGGTCAGGTCCTTGTTCCTCAGAAAGGGTTCTGTCCTTGTAAAAGCCAGATTCCTGTTGTCAGCACCAGCTGTTGACCCACAGAAACCACCCACTGCTTCTCAAGCCCTTCCTCCTCCCCAGCAGGACTGAGGGCCACCCTTGGCTGTCACCCCCAAGGCCACACAGTCACTTCCAGTACACTCTCCTGGTTGTGCTGTTGGTGCTCATGTGGAAGAGCAGCAGGGGTGATAGTCTGGGGGCTGGAGGAGCTTCAGCAGTCTCCCCACACCTCCCTGGCCTCTGTCCCCCACAGCAGGGACCTTCCCCCCATCACTCCCCCACCTCCAGGGTGGGGTTCAGGCTCAGCTGGGACAGACACTTTGTCTCACAGGCCTTCCAGCCCCTTCCCTGCTGCCAGGGCACTGATCCTGGGTGGAAGAAGTTCTCCCTCCTGGTGCCAGAGCTCCCAGACCTCCAGCCTTCACCATCACAGGATTTGCTACCCCAGTGAGCAGATCTGGAGGCTCCTTCTGGGCATTGTGGGCTCCAGGGTTTTGTGTCTGTGGGCTGTTAGGGAAGGTCCATCTCTTTCTCCTCATCCCAACTTCTGTGCAGCATGCAGGCCTCCTCCTGTAGCTCCTGAGCCAGGACACAGCAGGACACCACTTCCCTTGTCTCCATCTTCCACAAGAGGCACTGGCTGCCTCCTCCCTCCACAGCTCAGGCTGAGTGGAGAGGTCTGCTGAGCTGGGTGGAGCTGCAGAAGTTGGTGCTGGAGGCTGTGTCCTGTGGTGTGTCACCACTGCCACCTGCCCTCTGCAGAGGTTCCAGCTCCTCACCACAGGAGCCACAGCATCCCTTGGCTGCTGGGAACTGTGGTCTCAGCCTGGGGGGTTTATAGGCCTGTTCCTGGCACCAGCTGAAAGGGCCTGTGACTCCATCAGCTGGAGGCAAAAGTTCAAATCACCCCCTGATGAGGAATATTTGGCAGAGGGGCTGCTGGTGCTCAGAGGTAAAGGCTCTTTGTAGCTCCTGGAGGAGTTCCCAGAGGTCCTTCTGTGCACTGTGTCCAGTTCTGGAGCCCCAGTACAAGAAGGGCAGGAGCTCCTGGAGAGACTCCAGAGGAGGCCATGAGGATGATCCAAGGGCTGGAGCAGCTCTGCTCAGAGACAGGCTGGGAGAGTTGAGGTGTTCAGCCTGGAGAAAAGAAGGCTCCAGGGAGACCTTAGAGCAGCTTCCAGTGCCTGAAGGGGCTCCAGGAAAGCTGGGGAGGGACTTGGGACAAGGGCAGGGAGGGAGAGGACAAGGGGGATGGATGAAAACTGGCAGAGGGGAGATTGAGGTTGGACATGAGGAAGAAATTATTTGGTGTGAGGGTGGTGAGAGCCTGGCCCAGGTTGCCCAGGGAAGCTGTGGCTGCCCCATCCCTGGCAGTGTTGAAGGGCAGGTTGGATGGGGCTTGGAGCAGCCTGGGCTGGGGGGAGGTGTCCCTGCCCATGCAGGGGGGTGGGACTGGATGAGCTTTAAGGTCCCTTCCAACCCAAACCAGTCTGTGATTCTGTGATTCTGATGGTCTCAGAAGATTGAGAAGCTCTCTGGAAGCTGCTACACCTGTTGTCTGTCTTCTCCACCCTCCTGCTGGCCCTCTCCCATATCTCCCACCTCAGCCAGGGATCCAAGCTGAGCCACAGCAGCCCTTCAGCACAGGGCCATCCCCCAGCAGCCCTAAGGACCACGGCCTTCATTTCGGTGGCAGAGTTGGTGACGTGTCCACCCTAGTGAGGGGGCTCCTGCTGAGGGCCCAGCAGCAGCTGGGGAGGGGGCTGTTGGGTCCTTCCCCTTGGCTCTGCCCAGCTCCCCCCCTGCTCCAGCAGGGCTTGCTGTGTTCTGGGCAGTCTGGGAGCTCTGATCTGTGTCTTCCATCTTCCAAGCCATGACACTAGAATAAGTTTTGGTGTAAATCATTGGGTCTCTCAGGGCAGAGGGGAGAACCATTTGCACTTGACCCTTTCTCTCCACATCACGAGGGGCAGGAGGCTGCCCCAGGGCTCCTTGTTACCCCCCAGCAAAGGTGCAGCCTCTGCCACCTGCTCTGGCAATGGGTCATTGCAGGCTTTAAAAGCTGACAGTGGGATCAGTCCCTGCTCAGGCTGTTGTGCAACAGGATCCACCTTCAGATGTTTTCTTGTAGTCCTTGTGCTCCCTTCCCCTGGCTGGAGGGGTTTCTGTTTCCCTGCTTTTCAGCTTCTTTCAGCTCTGCTTGTCTACAAAGCACTGAGCTGTGCTCGGCTGCAGTTCAGGGATACTAGAAAACAAAGAGCTGAGCATCCAGTTCCCACAGGAACTTGCCTGGTGCACCCAGAGCCACCAGTCTGAAACCAAAACAAGGAAAAGCACAGCTGTTCAGCCCCAACCTTTGCTGCTCTCCTCTCCTGTCTGTTGCAGACATCACCTGGCACCTTGTTCTAATGAGGTGGATGTTATCAAGCACCCTCATTCCCAAGAGAAGAGTATCCCTTGGGAAGCACCCCAAGGGCATGATGCTGATCATGGAAATGGTCACTGAGGAGTCCTTTCACTGCTCAGTGGCAGGGTTTGCTGCCTGCCAGGGCAGAGGGAGCTCTTTCCAGGGATAAGGGAGCATCTCACCCTGTCTGCCCCCCAGCCCAGATGCAGCAGCTTGGCTGCTGCTGCTGCAGACCCTCTCAGAAGCTGTTTGGTGTCAATGTCCTGCAGGATGGGAGCTGACAGGCAGCAGGATCTTCCAGCTGCTTCCACAGATCCCTGACTACTTGGCAACTGCTCTGCCCTCATGTCCTACCAGATGCTTTCTGCCCTTATTATCCTGGCTGGGCTGCACTGGCCACACTGTGGGCAGGAGCTGTTTGGGGCAGAGTGCCCTGGGATCACCAGCAGCAGTGGTTTTGTGCAGGAGAGCAGAGAACAGGGCCCACTGGCAGCTGAATGATGTTTCACACTGCCTGGCTCTCATTTGGGCTGTAGCTCGACTCCACCCAGCCACCTTCTCCCCTTCTCCTCTCTTCTGGACCCTGCTGGCAGCAGAAGAGGCTCTTCCAGGACACTGCTGTGACTGTGGGTGACCCCTCCTTCTCTCTCTTTCCTAGTTACCTGTCTGAGGAAGATGTCCTAGATCAAGCAAACCCTTTTGTGCAGCTGGTGAGCGGGGTGGTTTGGCTCCTCAGAGATGGAGAAGTTTACATCAGTCAGAGCCAAGTGGCCGAGTGTGGTGACATTCAAACCACAGGTAAATACTGCAGAGCTGCAGCCTGGGGGTGGACTGTCCTTCTGGAGGGGGTAGCTCTGACAACCTTCTTGTCCAGTTGCAGTTTCCTTCTCACTCTAGAGGTCTAAGTTTCTTCTGTGCAGGCTCAGACCTGCAGCAAGTGCAGCATGAGCTGCAGGATGAGGCTCCACTGGCTTGTCCAGGGCTGTTGGACAGAATTTGCTGAGCACTGTAAATAGTGGCAGCATGATGGGTGCTAATAATGGTCCAGAGAAGCTCAAAAGTAGGTGCCTCTTACAAGAGTTTAAAACTAAGGGCTTGGGAATCCCTTTCTCTGTCCCTGTGCCAGGCAAAAACTTTGCTGTTCCTAGATGGGCCTGGATGAACAAGAGGGACCTGGGCTCTGTTCTCACTGTGTTCCAGCTTAGATGAGCTGCTTGCTGGGAACTGTTCTACAGACAGATTGTGTCTAAACAGCTATTTCTATCACCCAGCTGGTGCCTGAATTGTTCCCTGTCCTGCACAGGAACCTTTCAGAAGTTCATCAATGTCATCTCAGCCAGGACAGCAGTTGGACATGACAGCCAAGGGCAGCTGGTCCTGGTTCATATGGATGGACAGACAGAGTCCAGAGGGTAAGGCCAAGGTGGTGATAAGGTCCTGGGGCAGCTCCAAGATCAGCCTGCCCCTGGAACTGGGGGGACTCTGCAGCTGCCAGTGATGGGGTTTAGGGCAGAGACTTGCAGAGAAGTCAGTAGAAGACTCTGCTCTTTGGTGGCTGTGGCAGAGCCAGAAGAGGCCAGGGCAGCCTCCAGGCAGCCAGTCAGCATCCCTGGGATGGGAGAGCTTCCCCTGGGAAGAGGGACTCTTTGAAGTCAAACAGCACAAATGAGCAACTGTTTGTTTTTGCAGGGTCAACCTCTGGGAAATGGCTGAATTTCTGAAGCAGCAGGGAATCATCAATGCCATCAACCTGGATGGTGGAGGGTCTGCCACACTGGTCTTGAACGGGACCCTGGCCAGTTACCCCTCTGAGCACTGGTAGGTGCTTGTGGCAGGTTCCCAGGGCTGCCCAAAGGAGGGTGCAGCCCCCAGAGCTCAGCCCTGCCCCTCTGCTCCTCAGGGGGGTCACTGCAGTGTGGGAGGGCCCAGAGGAAAGGCAGGTGACACGTTTGGAGGGAGAGAGGACTCTGAAACCTAAAGCTATTTACTGACTACATATTTTTTCCACTTAGTCATCTGGGATTAGAGTTGAGCTGTTTGATGGGACTGAGTGGCCTGATGTGGGATCAGATAAGGAAGCAGCTCTGAGGCTGGGAGATTAAGAGCTGCACATTCCCGGGAATTAGCAGAGGTCTGTCAACAGCTGATCATTAGGGAAGAGAAACACTGACTTGGAGACCCTGCCCTGCCTCACGTTAGGGCACCTAGAGAACATTCTACTTAAAATTTAGCTGTTTAGTCATTTCTGACTGTAAACATGAAGGGATTTAAAATTCCATTTGCAGTCAGACAGTTGAAAATCAAGTGTTGCTGCAATTGGAATGAGGTCACCTATGTCAAAGCAAAAAAAAACCATCCCAGAAAAGGAGTGTTGGGTTCCAAAGTAAGGGAAGGTGGGTCTGCTTAAAGGAAGACTTTGCCTGCATGTTGTTGGAGCCACCAGGATGCTGGGTGGCATCACAAGGGCATCACCAGCTGAGATGAAGAAGTAATTGGGACACACTCTGCTCAGCAATTGTCAGGCCACAGCTGGGGTGGAGTTGGAATTCTGTGTTCAGCTTTGGTCTCTGCTGGGCAAAAAATGATGTGGGCAGGCTGGAGAGGGTCCTGAGGTGGCCACAAAGGTGATCCAAGGACTGGGAAGCCTGAGGTGGGAGGAGAGGCTGAGAGACCTGGGTTGGTTCAGCCTGGAGAAAAGAGGATTAAGGGGAGACCTTATCACTGTGTTCTAGGAAGAAAAGGGTGGCTACAAAGAAGATGGAGAGTCCCTTTTTACAAGGAGTCACATGGAAAAGATGAGGGATAATGGGTACAAGTTACTCCTGGGGACATTCCCACTGGACATAAGAAGTTTTTTCACAATAAGAACAACCAGCCATTGGAATAATCATAGAGTCATGGAATGGTTTAGGTTGGGAGGGGCCTTAAAGATCATCTAGATCCAACCCCCTGCTTGATGTCTCACCTAAATCTCCCCTCTTCCAGTTTAAAATCCCTTGTCCTGTCACTACCCTTTCTGATGAAAAGTCTCTCCCCATCCATTTGAGTCAATGTTTTAGCCAAGTGTTAACTCCTATGAGACAGGAGTAATTTCAAACATGGAGTTACAGAATCATAGAATCATTGTAGAATACCAGGTTGGAAAGGACCTCAAGGATCAGTTGGTCCAACTTTTCCTGGAAAAAGGACAGTCTAGACAAGATGGCCCAGAATAATGTCTAGAAGAATCTTAAAAGTGTCCAGGGTTGGGGAATCCACCATATCCCTATATAACAGGGGCTCCAGGAAAGCTGGGGAGAGACCTGGGACAAGGGCAGGGAGGGAGAGGACAAGGGGGATGGATTAAAACTGGCAGAGGGGAGATTGAGGTTGGAGATGAGGAGGAAATTCTTTGGTGTGAGGGTGGTGAGAGCCTGGCCCAGGTTGCCCAGGGAAGCTGTGGCTGCCCCATCCCTGGCAGTGTTGAAGGGCAGGTTGGATGGGGCTTGGAGCAGCCTGGGCTGGTGGGAGGTGTCCCTGCCCATGCAGGGGGTTGGATCTGGATGCTATTGAAGGTCCTTCCCAACCCAAACCATTCCATGATTCTACAAGCCCAGTTTTACATGTCTATCTTCCCATTACTGATGTTGTTTGCCAGTGTCAATCAGGGTGAGAATCTGTGGCTGGGTCAGCTGGTTCCAGGCAGGGCTGGGAGCAGCACCATCCCTACCCCCTGATGGGACCTCCCTTCTGTCCCCAGCCCCTTCGACAACATGTGGCGCTGCCCTCGGAACGTCTCCACCGTGGTGTGTGTCCATGAGCCCCCCTGCCAGCCTCCTGACTGCAGTGGGCATGGGCACTGCCTGGGGGGGCACTGCCACTGCACGGGGGGCTTCTGGAGAGGCCCAGCCTGTGACATCTTGGACTGTGGCCCCTCCAACTGCAGCCTTCATGGCACCTGCAGCCCCGGTGAGTCCCCGCAGGGCCCTGAGCTGGGGTGCCCGGATGGCTGTTTGGGGGGGTAGGGCAGGGGGTACCCCGGGGGATGTCACTTACCTGCCCAACAGGTGTCACAGTGGGGGCTTGGCATGTGGCTCTGGGCATTCCTCTGCCTGCCCTGAACACAGGGCATTTCCTGTGTTCCTATTTCTTGGCTCCCTCCTTGATTTGAGCTCCCAGCCAAGTTTGCACCAGTGCAGTGACTGGGCAGAGCTCAGTGGGTGTTGCCAGTAGCTGACCCAGAGTTGCTCACACAGCAGGGGGTCCTGCTGGCTCTGGCAGCTGCCATGGGTGGGTGTTTGGTCCCAACCTGTGTATGAATTCAGGATTCCTCTTCTGTGGTTCCCTGGCAGAGGCAGGAGGAGTTAAGAGGGCACTTCAAGAAGCAGAGGGCCCTAGTTGGGAGTTCCTGGTGTTTCTCAGGGGGTCTCTGTTCATGCCTGTTTGTGTCTCTGCACAGCTGGATGCCTGTGTGACCCCGGCTGGATGGGCAGCAACTGCACTGAAGGTAATGCTGCCCCTCTGCTCCTTCACAGCCAGCAAGGGGGTGGTGGGACCCACCTGCCTGCAGGGCTGGGGAGCTCCTGCTGAGGGGGGCACTGAAGGGAAAGGCTGCACAGTGTCCCCTTTGTTGGAGTTCAGTTGCAGCCCGAGCACCTCAAGCCTGACTTGGTGCAGGTTCCAAAGCCCTTGCTCCTTGTTCAGGGCCCAGACTCAGCTCCTGCCCTGAGCAGCCAGGGGCTACTCCAGGGGTGTGAACATGGGTGGGACTGCTGCCTCGGTAACCAGGGCCCTGATGAGGTCTCTGCTTGTCTCCTCAGCTTGTCCTCATGGTTTCTATGGGGACACTTGCACCCAGAAGTGCCAGTGCCAGCACGGTGGCTCCTGTGACCCTGTGCATGGCACCTGCTCCTGCCCAGCTGGGTACTATGGCATCAGCTGTG